ATATATATATATATATATATATATATATATATATAAAAAGAGAGAGAGATCAGATGTCTAGAGATGGTGATTGGAGGCTTTGGAAAAGGTTTTCCAATTCACAGCTCATTTCTCTATAGAAAGCTCTGACCCAGTACAATTCAGAGATGGCGGGACTCTGTCTATTCCAAAAACCCAGGGCTGGGATGTAGATATCAGGGTGGAGCGTTTATCCTTGGATGGGATGGTAGCTTATCCCAAAGAGAATTGTACCTCTGTCTCTGAAACACATGCTAAGTGCCCATACAGAGCCCGAGAGGAAGGAAGGGCTATCCAGTTTCAGGATGTCTCTCTGGGCTACAGGAAGAGGCAAGATTGATGGTTTGTATTGGGTAGGTGGGACCCTGGGTGGGAGGGCTGAATTTCTTTCTCAGGGTAGCCTCGGTTTGCATTTTCCTTTTTCTTTTGGGATATTTTTTTCACTTTGCCAGTAGTATTGGGAGTATATCATAGAAAATTGTCCAAGATTTTGACAAATTTTGATGAAAGATCATACCTAATATTTATTTGTAATTTTTAATATCTATAAATTTGTTATGTTTATGACTTTTTTTTTCCCTTAAGAATTGTCTAAGCTTTGTTGATAAGATTTTTTTTTTTTTGCAAAAAGTCTGTGTTTGGATTCTGTTGATTTATTTTTAATATGATCTATTTAATTAATTTTTGCTTCCTTTTAAAAAATTTTTTTAGTTGTAGGTGGACACAATATCTTTATTTATTCATTTTTTATTTTTTATGTAGTGCTGGGGAACAAACCACTCTACCACTGAATCACAACCCCAGCCCCAATTTTTGCTTTCTTTTTATTAATTCATTTATTCTCTCATTTTCCTGTCTGTCTTCTAATTAGTATGTTATTTCTTGCTACTTACTTTTTATTTCCTAGCATTTTGAGGATTGATCGGCTTTTGTTTTACTCTTTATTTTCTTTTTAGTGCGGGATGGCTTGCATTTTTACATTTTAATTCTCTGCTTCCTAGTATTTATCTTTAAATTCAAAACTATCTAATTGTATATATTTTTTATTACACTTAAAGTGGCACAACTTCTATATCCTCTCCTTCAACATGAAAAAAATATTTGCAATTTTAATTCTTTATAACTTCTCCTCTTGGCCATCTTTCCATGTTGAAATCACTTTTGTTTTAGAGCGAGGCTATTACTAAATCTCATTATTGTTTCTTTGCCTGTAATTACTCTTCTAATATGTTTTTTTTTCTATGTCCTTTATTTTGTTTTGTTGGGATACCTCCTCTAGTGATTCTTTCATAAGGGGTAACTGGTAAACTTTCTAAGTCTTTACACATCTGAAATCTTTATTTGGCCTTTGGCCCTGAGGTTAATTTGGCTGGGTATAAAATTATGGATCCTAAATATTCCCCTTAGGAATTTGAGAAAAATTTGTCACCATATTCTTGAATCTGATGTTGCTGATTTTAAAATCTTATTGAAACTTACTGTAAGTAGTTTGTTTTTTCTTGGCTTTCTATGGCATTTAGCATTTTCTCTTCATCCTGATTGTTCTGAAATTTCAGCACATACCCAGTGGGCCCCTTTGAATTAGGAACTGGTGCCTTTCTTCAGCTCTGGGACATTTCCTTTGCTACTTTTTCATGTGTCTGCTTCTCTTTGTCTCTGATCTGCTCTTGTGGGGCTACTAATCAGTAGGTGTTGGCACTTGCCTGACTTTAGATCCCTCCCATTTCTCCCTACATTGTCTGTCCCTTTGTGCCTTTGCAGGGCCTCCTGGGAAAGTTCACAGCTCAGACTTGAAGCTCCTCAGGACCTCCTTCCTTCCCTCCATTCTATTCTTCCGTCCATCCATGGAGGTTTTATTTTCATGGTCATACATTCCATTTCTAAGAGATCAAATTTATTTTATTCCACAATTTTTATGAGTGGCATGCTCTCATCTCTTGGAGGACATTAATTTTGCTTGTAAAATTTGTCTCTATATATTTTTTATTAATTTTTTTTTCTAGAGGTGTGATTTTATTGCCTGTTGAGTTGGTGCCTTTCTCTCACGGTGTTAGACTTTTAAAAATTTTTTATCAAATAATTTCATGGGTTTGTCTCTGTTTATTGAGACTTTGGCTTTTGCCAAAGAAGAATGGGGAAAGAATATGCAAGAATTCAGTGATCTGACCTTAAACGTGTCCGTGAGGGTCACCAGCTTGTGAGGCACCTCTTCTGACCACACCTGCCAGTGGATAGGTGAATCCAATGCCTGAATCTTGATACCAGCAGTGGGGTTACCTTAGTCCTCACTAACTAGCTGTCTCCCCTAATCAATCCATCCTGCAGCCACCCTAGGGTGTTGCCCTTATCTGCTGCTCCTAAGTTGCTCCCACTTGAGCCCCAGGCCTCTTTCCTGCTTGTTCCTGGCTGTGCCTCAAATTACTTCCATTTGCTTTCTATCTCTAAAGTACTCCTCAGGTATTCTGGTCCAGGGCTTCTTGTTTTGCAATGTTATTCTGGATATTTTTTCTACTGTTAAGTTTCCAGGATCTGGTGATGGTGGGAGGGGTGGGCCTGCTGGCCATCTTGATCCAGTGCCCATATGGTGTGCATCTGTGCCCTCTCCCTGCACCTCTGCTGCCCACACTGCAGCAGTCCTTCCCTGCTTAGAACCTTCAGTGGCTCCCCACTGACTTCCTGAGAAGAGCCATATTAGCCTGGAGCCTCTCCCTTTCCCTGTCCCTTCCTTCCCTTCAGCCTTCCAGCCACTTCTGGTTGCACACAGGCCCCTGGACACGCCTTGGTTTCTCATATGGTGTCCCCACCCATTCCCCTCCTTCTTCTGCTAACTCAGCTCCCTCATGGCTCCCAAGCAGCTAACTCCTCTTTCAGTGCTCAGCTGGTGGCCCTTCCTGGGACCACTCCTGCTCTGCTCCCACAGCTCCCTGGATGGACCTGTACCTGGATTCTGGTGGCTCCGTTCCCCTTGTCACCTGTCCTCCTCTGCCCCAGATGTCAGGGCGGTGGCTGAGTCTTTTTCACAGAGTGTCTTCAGTGGCTAAAATGATGCCAGTGCTCGGAGGCCAAATGGCGTGGGTACTGTCCCTTCCCCTCAGACTTGAGCAGAGGGTCTCTGTGGGCCCCTGATCCAAGAAAAGTGGGTGCTCCAAGTTCGTGAGGGGACCCTCCTCCTCCAGCACAACCTTTGAACTGCAGTCAGTGCCCCAGGAACAGACAGGGCTGACGCGACTTCTGCTCTCTCCACAGGCACTGGTGCCATCACACGGTGACCCGGACGGTGTCCTGCCAGGTGCAGAATGGCTCGGAGACAGTGGTCCAGCGTGTGTACCAGAGCTGCCGGTGGCCTGGGCCCTGCGCCAACCTCGTGAGGTAAAGGCCCTGGACTGGACTGCTCCGCCCTTTCGGTGCTTAAGAATGAATCCAGCCCCAGCACGGCTCTGGGGGAGGCTCTGGGAGAGGCTCTGGGGGAGGCTCTGGGAGAGGCTCTGGGGGAGGCTGGATTAATCCCAGAGATGAGAGTTGAACCTGTTTATGGCGCACCTTCTATGTGCAGGGTGTGTGCGAGTATGAGTGTGTGTGTGTGTGTGTGTGTGTGTGTGTGTGCGCGCGCGCGCGCGCGCGCGACAAAAGGTGAATGGAACACCGAGAGAGACCCTCACAACTCAGTGGGTGTCTGACTGGCAGAGACCTCCACAGATGAGTGTAGACAGGGATCAAGGGAACAAGGAGGAGCCAGGTGGGGTGAAGAGGGAACCAGTTAGCATAGGGCTCCCGACTAGGATGTGGGGATATGCCAGATTTAGCCCCGCCCTCTGGCCCCGCCAAGCTCTGCCTCTCACAGCCCCACCCTCAGCCTCAGCACTCACAGCCCCTCAAGCCCCGCCCTCACTACCCTGCCCTTACAGCCCCACCTCACAGCCCACCCTCATAGCCCCGCCCTCAGCTTCACCATTCACTGCCCCTCAAGCCCGGCCCCTCACAGCCCCTCAAGCCCCACCCCTCACAGCTCCGCCCTCACAGCCCACCTCTCATAGCCACGCCCCTCAGTCCCACCCTCACAGCCCCGCCCTCAGCCTCACCACTCACAGTCCCTCAAGCCCCGCCCCTCACCAGCCCCACCATTCACAGCCCCACCTCACAGCCCACCTCTCATAGCCACGCCCCTCAGTCCCATCCTCACAGCCCTGCCCCCACAGCCCTATCCCCTCCCTGGAAGCCTTCAAGCCCCATCCTCTCACAGCCCTGACCCTCTCGCAGCACCCATCAAAGCCCTGTTCTCACTGCCCACTGTCCCACCAGTTCTGTCCCAAAGCCCAGTCCTGAGTCACTGCCCTGTGCAGTCCTCAACATCTGCAGAGAGATTTCACCACGAGGGCCTCAGAGCAGCTACCTCACCTTCCTCCCCCATCCTCTGTCCCTCCAGCTCAGCTCCACTTCCACCTTCTGGACTGGCTGCCCCTGACCTTTCTCCCCTCAACCTGACCAGCCTGAGGCCTCTACCTGAGGACCCTTCCCCATCTCTGCCTGGGACCTCTCTCCAAATCTCTGCCCTTTTGAGCTGGTGTCCCCGCTAACAGGGCATTTTTACATGGGGTCCATAATCACATCCAGCTGCAATAGTAGAATTCTTAACTTGGGGTCCTTAGATGCAATGTTTTCCTGAAGCTCGTTCTGCAAGAGGAATGGCTAGAGAAGTGGAGAGGGAGATGTCCATTTTAAATTTTAAGCAAGAGGGCTGCTTTTAAACACTGTGCTGGAGGCAGGACCAGTGGATCCATAATGAAGAAAAAGATGTTGACTCCCCCCATCCTTTTCAGCCTGGAGACCCCCTTAGTCCCCAGGAGCAGGGAGCTTCCGATTAGCCAGTCAGAGTCTCTTGATCCTGTGAGCAGCTTCTGAGGAGGGAGGTCTTCGGAGTCTGATTTCTCCGACCCTGATGGGGAAGGCTCTGGCCAGGTTCCACGGGAGGAGTGGCTGTCCTGCTCTCCCAGTGGGAAAGCCAGCTGCTGGCCCCGGAGGACAGACACTGGGCAGAAAGGTCACACGTCCCTTACACGGTTCTGACTCCTGCCCAGCTTGCTACTAGGTCTTTCCAAGATCTAGAATTTGACTTTAACAAAGGAATACTGTCTCCAGAGTCGAGACAGAGTTGGGTATGTCTGCTGGGCGCTGTGGTGCACCCCTGTAATACCAGAGGCCCCGTGGGGCTGAGGCAGGAGGATCCCAAGTTCAATGGCAGCCTGAGCAATTAAGCAAGACTCCTTCTCAAAAAAAGGAAAGAGAGCTGGGGATGTGGCTCAGGGATGGGGTGCTCACCCAGCACGTGCAAGGTCCTGGGTTCCATCCCCAGCACAGCAAGAGGGCTGTGTATCTAGAGTTCAGCCATATGGGCCTTTAGCTGCCATCCCATTATTAATGTGCTGGATGCTCCTCAAGCCAGTTACCAGGGTGGAGACCACCCAGGTATACGTGAGTGTCTACACACACACCATAGCGTGGCATTTGGGTTTAGGAGATGAACTGTCAGGTTTCCCTTTACTGAAAGCCCTCAGAATAAGTGGGATGGTGGGCTGGCTCTCCTAATGCCTCAGGTTCACGTCGAAGTTCTTATACTTTTGCAGTGTAGTCATGTCTGCTACGGAAAGGGGGCAAGCTGACTCCTGAATCGCCGAGCTGGGCGGGAACATTTTCAAGCCACCGTGAACTATCACAGTTGCTGTCTCAGGTCTTAGCGGTGATCTGAGTGGTGTCCCTGCAGCACAGGGGTCTTCAGTGTGGGTGCTGCAGGCCTTTCAGGGACTTCATTCCTTAGGGTAAGGACAGAGGACAGACGACCCGTCAGAGCATACGTGCATGTGTCATGAGCCTCCCCTGTGCCTGCAAAGCTAGCCAGCAGGAACCTTGTTCATTACAGTTAATTACAACTTTTCATTTCCATTCTTTTAGAGAAATTTCTTTCTTTTTTCTTTTTTTCTTTTTTTGGTACTGGGTTTGGAACCTCAGGGTGCTTAATCACTGAGCCATATCCCAGCCCTTTTGATTTTTTCTTTTAAGACAGGGTCTAGCTAAGTTGCTTAGGGCCTCGCTAAGTTGCTAAGGCTGGCCTCGAACTGGTGATCCTCCTGCCTCAGCCTCCGTAGTTGCTGGGATTACAGGTGTGCATTGCCATGCCCAGAGAAATTCCCTATTTCAGATCTTACTTACAATTGCTAAGCAATTATTATTTGTTAAAGAAAGAGGGGCTACTACACTTTTCTTTCTCATCAGTAACTCATAGCTGAGCTAGAATGGGGGGGGCACCCTCTTTCTGCGGCCTCAGGGCTGCTGGCTGGGCAAGGAGAGGAAGGGTGATAGTCAAGTATGACCACCGCTCCCTGGTCACCTGGGGCTGCATTCTTATTACAGGCCGTCTTTTTGCTGTATTCTACTACAAGGGCATCTTGTTTGTGGCAGCCTCCTCACTGGTCTCCCTTGGGACTTTGGACTCTTTGACTTCACTCTCCACCATCCCGTGTGGGTCTTCCATGATATTCCTCCAAGTCACAGAAGGACAGCAAAGGCTCCAGGCATCATGTCTCATGCCACGGTTTTCCAAAAAAGGAAGCAAAAAAGTGGGACCCATTTTTTTTCTGTCATAGAGAAATAACATGTATCCAGGATTGAACTCAGGGACACCGACCACTGAGCTACATCCCCAGCCCTATTTTGTATTTTATTTAGAGAAAGGGTCTCGCTGAGTTGCTTAGCGCCTCACTTTTGCTGAGGCTGGCTTTGAACTTGTGATCCTCCTGCCTCAGCCTCCCCAGCTGCTGGGATTACAGGTGTGCGCCATTGCGCCCGGCTAAGGATAGTCTTTTCTAGAACCCCCAGCCGACTTCCCCTGCTGCCTCAGTGGCCAGGATTTGCCCCTCAAGCCTCAGTTTCCCCAACTCTAAAATGGAGGTGACGGAGTGCAGCGTTGGGAGGTGGCTGAGGAGGGGGTGAGGGGCGTGGGGCGGTGTCCTGCAGGAGGCTGGCTTGGAGGCCAAAGATTCCAGGTCCAGGGCCCCCAGGCAGCTGCCACCTGGGTTCCAGGCGGGGCAGGCCCTGCCTTCCTGCTGAGGTTAGTGGCAGTCCCCCTGAGCCCCAGACCTGCCCTGCGCATGCTCCTTAGCTTACAGCCCCAGTTGCTCAGAGAGTCTGGCCGTGTTTCAACCTCAGCATTTAATGGGCCTGCTCAGCGTTTTCTGGGTTCCTTCTGTCCATTTCTGGGGGCCGTGTAGGGCATCATGTCTCCATTCCCCCGAAGCGCAGTTGGGTGCTTTGATTTGTGTTTGCACAGAACTCCTGTTGGGGGAAGCAGGGTGGCGTGTATGAATTGCCTCTCGCCGTCCCCCTCTTCTTTCTCCTTGGTGCCATTGCTGTGATCTCCAGGGCGTGAGTCTCTCCCACATTTCTTGTGACAACCTAAGAGATCCTCATTTCCCAGGTTGCTTTCCAGACTGTGATGGCAGATACAGGTAGCAGAGTAAGGTGAGCTTGGAATCCAAAAGACCAAAGGCTCAGTGGAGCTGTGTGGCTTCCAGAAAGTTACTTAGCCTCGCTGAGCCTCATCTCTAAAACAGCCAATATCTGTCTTGCAGCATGGGTGTTAGGATTCCATGAGAGAAAAACAAGGGACAATTTAGTGCTCTGCGCGTAGGATCTTCCGGGACACGGCAATGGCTGTTTTTTAAGTATCACTTCCCCTTGGCCTGGTGAATTCCGTCTTGAGGTCCGGGAGAAGCCTCCTCTTGGTACCGCTGTTGCCTCTGCCCTGCCAGCCAGATTGACAGGACCTGCAGTGACGATACCGCAGAGTCTCATTTGCCTTCTCAAGGAACACAGTGGGGCTTACCTTAGTGGAAGGTACACACCTGCCCATCTGTCCTGTCAGTCTCCAAGTCCCAAGGCCAGAGAATGTCTGCTCCTCTCCACATCCCCCGATCCTTTGCCAGAAGGGACTGGAGGAGGGAATCATGGATCTGGTAAAGTCTCACCTACCCCCACCTCCTCGCCCAGTCTCCAAGGGCCCCTCACTCCCCCCACTTCCTGCAAGGAAGACCCTCTCTAAGCTGGTCCCTGAGGTGAGCCGCACCTGATAGAAATTCACATTTAACTGAAGGCTCCTGGACCAGACCTTACCCAAGTGATTTCCCTATGAGGGCACCGTGGGAAGTCCAGAGCAAGGCAGCTGGGGGAACCCTGCAAGGCCTTTCCATCTTCACACTTTGGGCTGCATTTGAAGATAGAACTAAAGGGGATCCCTTTTCCCCTATGTGGCGGGGATGATGTTATCAGATAGGGAGGACAAGGGGCCACAGCCTGAGAGTCAGGAGACGAAGTCAGAG